GACATTTCTAACATTTTGTGGAGATTTGTGGCTCTTGTTGACTTTGAGCCTTGCAGGCCTTGAGGGAAGACCAGACCATGACACCAAAAGCTTCAAACAGCACCACAGAGGAATACCATGGCTCAAGTGTATGAATTGTTGGACCAGCAAAGACTTCTACAGAACATTGCTTGAACAACAGGAAAAAGCTTCAAGACTTGTGTGCAGGTCATTGTTGATTCTTTGGACAGGAGGATTGTTGATCTTTCAAAGCAAGTCTATGATTTTAAGGTGAGTCTTAAAATGACTCAAAAGGAGTTTGATGATTTTAAAACCTCATGTAAAACTTGGACCAAGAAATGCAGAGAAGCCAGAACAGATTTGGACCCAATTTGCAAGAGTTTGAGCTCAATCTCAGATAGGACAGAATATCTGGAGAGCCAGTCAAAATGCCATAATATTGTTGTGGATGGCATTAAGGAATGTGTGAGAGACAAAGTTTCCGGATCTGAAGAAAAGGTGAGAAAACTCCTCAGTGAAAACCTACATCTAGATCATCTGAATATCAAGCTGGAGTGGGCCCACTGAACTGGGAAGCCAGTGTCATCAGAAAAACCTGGGCCCATTGTAGTCAGATTTTGGCTAAAGGACAAGCTTGCTGTTCTGGAGAAAACCAAAAACTTGAAGGGCTCAGGCATCTTCATCAACAAGGACTTTACTGAAGCAGTTTGTCAAAAAAGAAAAGTACTACTCCCAGCAATGAAGGCAGCTTGAGAGAGAGGTGACACTGCATATTTGAGATATGACAAACTTACAGTCCATTCATCTACTTCAGACCATCTGCAACAACGAAAAGCCAATGCTTAGCCTTTGGTTTGTTAGGTTCCACCATTAGATTTTAACAGTACTCTAATCCCTTTATCACACATTTCATTTCATTATCTTTTTCTTTTTTCCTTAACACTCATTATGGACTGCAACAAATCTGATATTGAAGGTGAGACTTTTAAACCCTTTGATGCCTCTATCATTGGCTCTTATAATCTTGAGGTTGATGCCTCAGACCTGTGTAGTTTTTATAGTGAGCCAGAGTATAATGACTTGTGTGTTCCTATACCTACTAATATATTCTCCACTTTACATATGAAAATCTCTGTTTCATATTAGGTGACTTGGATATAAATCTTTTCAATTGTAAATCAGTTCATAAATCTGCACGAGTTAGAGAAAATTCAGCAACTTTAATTGATAACATCTTAACCAAATCCTTGAACGAGGGAATGATATCTGGGGTCTTGTACTCAGACTTATCAGATCATTTCCCCATATTTCAATACACTTTAAGTAAATAGTAAACACCTCTATTAACACATAGTTAATAGAGGTAAACATACCACAAATGCATAAAAAATGATGAGTAAATCAAATATTTCCACATTGAAAGAAATGCTTGCAAATGTGTCATGGGATCACTTGTATAAAGAAAAAAAAGCAGATTCTGCATACCAACATTTTATGGAAATTAATAGTTCTAGCTTCAATTAATGTTTTCCAATCAGCAATTCTAACAAGAAATACAGTCAACACTTCAATAAGCCTTGGTATACAGTTGAGTTATCAAAACTATTGAGGAAAAAGAATAAACTGAATAGAAAATATATCTCAAATCTTATTCTTCTTACTCATAGTATTTATGAATGAAACAAAAATAAATATATTAATTCTATTTGATCAGCAAAAAAGGAATATTTTAGTGAAAAATTTCAGAGGTGTTCAAATAATATTAAAAGCACATGGACAGTTATAAACCAACTTTTGCAGAGATAAGATATTCGATCAGAACTACCTTCTGTCTTTTTGGATGGGGAAAATTCTCTTAATAATCCATTTGATGTGGCTCAAAAATTCAACAGCTTTTTTGTTTATATTCTGTTTGAATTAGCTAATAAAATTACAACTAGTCAAGGTAATCCACTTGATTTAATCCCAAAATTCCCTACTGTTTCTCCTTTTATGCCACCTGATTTACAGGAGATAAGTGACACAATTGATGAACTAAGAACATCTTCTGCTGGCCATGACAACATTTCTGCATTCCTTGTCAAGCAGGTGAAGGAGTCAATACTGCAGCTGGTCCGTGTACTTGGCGGCCAATGGATTTTCGTTTTCAAATGAAAAAACGAAAATCAGGAGACAGGCCATCTCCTGACGACCAGTATGGAATCGGAAAACGGAAAAAACTAACCGTATTCCTTTTTCGTTTTGATCATAAAAATGTGAAAATGACATGACATGAAGGGACAGCCAATCGAACTGCCTGAGTTAAGTACTGCTGCTGACATGAATTAAGTATACTGGATAGTTTGAGTGCAATATTCACTGGCCTTTATGTTGTTATTAAGTTAAGTTTTCTCTGTATTTGATCATTGGTTGGTGGGGTACCCCCAGATGACAGTGAAATGATAATGTTAGGACTTGTAAGATCCTCAAAGAAAAAGATCATCACTGCATCCAAAGTAATCAACAAACAAAGCTAAACCATTGGCCAAATTGTCAAAAGATATAAGAAAAAGGCAAAAATTGTGAAAATAGCAGATCTACAAGCGCACACGCCTCACAATACAAGGTGTTACGGGCTTGTAGATCAGCTATTTTCACAATATCTATATGTGGAACAGAGTCAAACAAATTGGGGGTTACCCAGTTCTAATATGATTGTTTGGGGGGGGGGTCAAGTCCTGAAAAGGTTTAGAATCACAGTACTAGATGCCAGTACTAGATGGCAGCCATCTTGAACATTGTCATACAACAAAGTTGTATGATTAAAACTATGTCAGATTTGGAATCCTCATGCTTGGCTTGTATGGAAAAGTGCCTTCATACATGATTCTAGGTCATCCAGATCAAAAGATAATTTTTAGAGATGGCGCCGGCCGCCATCTTGAATTTAGCTGTCTAGCAAAAAATGCCGGGATTTTTGTGAGGGACCTGGGGCTTAATCTTTTCTAAAGGGTCCATAGAGGTCAAATCAATTGTCAAAACATCCTTGCCAGGGGATGGTCACAGAATCTCACTTCGTGACCCGACTAATAGGACAGAACTACTCTCGCCGCACTCTGTGTTCCTTGCATACATGACCCATAAGCAGGAAAAACTAGCTTTTTAGCTGGTTTGTTAGCACCAGCGCCGTAGACGGGGGAGGCTGAGGCTTATCTTCTTACATGGTTGGTCGCAACTTGTTAACAGAGGTTGGACACAATCTTATAAACTTAAAACAGGGTTCCCGCAGATCCTTGAAAAGTCTTAAAAGGCATTGAATTCATTATTCTAAAAATAAGGCCTTAATTGGCATTAAAATGTCTTAAATCCAATTTTCAAAAGTCTTAAAAATTTGAACACAGTAAGATTTATGTTAGTTTGAACTAAAAAAAATATTTAGTAACATTTATCTATTTTTCAAAAATTGTTCACCGATTTACTCTTGTGGCAACATCGTGTAATCACAATAGCGGAACTAGCAAAACGGTGATGTGGTTGCAACCGAGTCTTACAGAGCAGACGCATGTCTTGGTTCTACCCAACGCAGTTCACGTAGCAACTTCAGACAGAGACGTTTTCTTTGGACCACATGGGAAAGTGTAAATTTAATGAGAACTGGCTGTCCAACGAACATTTTTCTTCATGGCTCAAAGCGGTACCAGGCAACGTGTACGAGGCGCAGTGTATTTTGTGCACAAAATCTTTCAGACTCGGCACGATGGGAGTCAAAGCATTGGAGTCACACATGCAAAGTGCGAAATACAAAGCTTCAGAATCGAGCTGCCAACAGATGCCAGGTATTTCCCAGTTCTGTTTGTCTCTTGTTTCCACCGTGCCCCCACCCGGACCCCCGATGACAACTGGGACCACAGCAGCACCACATCTCTGGATGTTCGGCTGTACACCTACACTGAAACTGGAGGTTCTGTGGTCTTTGAACACCGTGACGAAACACCAATCATTAAGTCAAATGAGGGAGTTGGAGACTTATTCCGTGCAATGTTCCCTGACTCTGACATTGCCCACTCGTTTACATGCGGTTCTGACAAGACGGCCTACATCAGCAAGTTTGGATTAGCCCCGTACATTTTTGAGCAGCTTGTTGCAGATGGTAACAAGGATGTATTTGTTTTCATGTTCAATGAGAGCCTCAACCAGACCACAAAAACACAACAGCTTGATCTGCATGTCTGCTATTGGTGCGAAGATCACGTCCAGTCAAGATATGCAGGGTCGCAGTTTATGGGACATGGAACAGCCCAGGATTTACTATTTCAAAGTAAGTAGCCAGCCACCTGCCTATTAAATTAAATAAATTAAAGTTAATATATTTTATGAAAATGTCAATCAAAACTGGACATAATTATATTTGTAAAGGTAGAAGTTAGTTATGGCTTTTGTATTGGATCACATTATATTGTACAAATCTTGCTTATATTGTTTGGTCTTCAGTTTCCACTTGTGAAGGTGTCAAATGATATTAATACTTTTTCTGTGTCAGCCTTCCATCCAGTACAAATATAATAAGCTGTATTATAGTTCGCTAATTCTTTACTGGATTAATTCAGTATGATTTTTATATGCTTCATGGGCTTCAACATTGTTTATTCTCAGGAAGGTGCCAAGGACCTGGATAGGCGTAAGCTGTTGTCTGTCTCCATGGATGGCCCAAACGTAAATTAAAAGTTCCTGGAGCTACTGCAGCAAGAACAGGCAGAGCAGTATGGTGGTGTTCAACTGATTGTGGTTGGAAGCTGTGGTCTCCACGCCTTACATAATGCTTGCAAAGTTGGCTTTCTTGTGTGGCAACTGGACAAGGCTCTGAGGGCCTTGCATACACTCTTCCATAATACACCTGCAAGGAGGGAGGACTTCACAGTTCTTACCAAGATGACAAATTTTCCACTGCCAATCTGTGGCCACCGGTGGCTTGAGAATCTAACAGCTGTGGAGACGGTTTAGAGGTGTGGCCTTCAGTGACCATGTACATGGATGCAGTCAGGACCAAGAGGCTACCAAATCCAGGAAGCTCATCTTTTGACACCCTTGAAGTGGCACAGAAAGATCCTGTCATCATGGCAAAACTTCACTTCTACATGTCCATCATCAGGACTTTCAACCCCCTCCTCACCACATACCAGACAGACCAGCCAATGATGCCATTACATATGAACGATTTGGCAGAATTGATTAAGGTAATTATATTCTACTACTGAGCATTGTTTGTATATATTATGTACGTGATGTGACAGTTATATTAGATCATGTTGAAAAAAATCTGAAAGAGGAAAACAAATAAGTAAAGCCGTGTTGACAAATTGTCAAGGCAATATGGCTGCAATTATTTGGGTGACATATTTAACTTTTCTGTTTACAGTGTATTTCGAGGGGGTTCATCAAGAGGGAGATCCTTCAGGACACCGGTCCACTCCAGTTAGCCTGACTGGATGTTGGAGACAAAAAGAATTGGGTCGGTTCTAAGGAAGTGACCATTGGCTTGGGTGCAGAATCAACCATGAAGGTAGTGTTTCAAGTTATTCATTTATGTATTTATTTTTAAATATTACAAGGATCCAGAAAATTGATTTACTAGTTGTTACATAGGTTACTCTCACTATCCCTGTCAGGAACTTCGGAGACAGAATAAGATAGGAGAACTCACAGTCTTAGAGTTTAAGATGGACTGCATTAAGCTATACTGCAGAAAGTGCAAAAAAAGAGCCCCTAAAAATATCCCAGTGTGAGGCAGCTGACCTGTTTGGACCCCAGAAAGATGTTCTCTGATCCAGAATGGTGCCAGGGCAAGATGAGGAATCTCGTCCAGAGGTTTCTGCACGATAAGCAGTTGTCAAGTGTCTGAGCCGGTATGAGAGAATAGAGCAGTTTAAGTTTTCTTTAAGCATTCACTACGGTATCTGTCTCTTAATGTAGGGATGAAGTAAACAGCATCTAAAGAAGTGTTAGGAATGTGCATATTATGAATATGAATTTGCCTGATTCTTATCTAGTACTGTAAAATAAAGTGTTTGCATTTTTTGTTGAATTTTTCCTGTGCCTTTGTATTGTGTTTTGCAGGTGACGTGATTACATAGCAGTTTTATGATTTCTTGTCTGTTGAGACTAGAAATGACACCTTCCACTCCTACCAACCCACTGAGACAAAAATGGATGTCTTCCTTCATCAAGCTTTCCAGGGCAAATGCTACTCTGAGCTATGGGAGTTCGCATGGCCAGGCAACAGTGGAGCGAGGCTTCTCAATAAACAAAGAGGTTGAAACATGCAACATGCATGAAGAAACAATGGTCACCCAGCGACTCATATGTGACTATGTCACTGTTTGTGGGGGTGTCTTCAAGGTCCCCATCACTAAGGAGTTGCTGACCTCGGCTGCATCAGCCATGTCAAGGTACAGAATGTACCTAGATGAGGAAAAGCAAAAGAAAATGAATGAATGTGCAACACAGAACCAAAGGGCAGCTGCAGAGCTCATCGAGGAACTTAAAAAGAAGAAAAAATGTCTGTCTGAGGTGGCAAAAGTTCTGTTGGATGATGCTGATCAGCTCACCACACAAGCTGAGGGAAAGGCTGGCACCCTGATGGCACAGCTCATCACCAAATCAAACACGCTTTGGAAGTAATACAAAGAAAAAATGGCAGAATTACAACAAGTGGAGGTGGAACTGAAGAAAACATGCACACCAATGCCAGAAAAAGAGTAAACGCCAAAACTTAGCTATATTGAGTTTTTTTTCCAAGCATGTGTTTTTATGATGCTACACTTGGATACAAAATTGTTCATGAATGTAGCAGTGTTATTTTTTTCAAAATGAAAGTTTTACACCGGACCAAAAAGTCATGTTTCATGCTTCATGATGCAAATGCTTCAAAATAGTTATTTGGAATTAGTAGTTATCTGCCAGTTTTTACTGAGTATCAACGATGTACTGCAAACATCCTTTTTATGTATTGTTTTCCATGTCTTAAACTCTGGAGAGTGTTATGTTTTTCAAAATGACAGTTTTCAACTGGACCAAAAAGTGATGTTTTATTTAAAATTGCCTCTAACCCAGGTAATTCATGCGGTGTTTTTTGTTTTTTTCTGTTTTGTTTTTTTTCAAATGTGGTTTGTTGTTGACTTGGTCTAAAGCCGCGTTGAGACCAAACGCGACCTAGTTGCGTTGGTCGCTGTAACCGCGTCGCGCCCTCCAAAGCAGCAGTCGCGGAGGTCGCAGGATGCGGCTGGTCGCCGATGACCCGCTTCTCATACCTTCCTTCTCCATCCTTTTCTCCCTCATATATACATCCCGCAGCCCCTTCCAGCGCTTGCGGCACACATCCACTGCAAAGACACTCACAAACACACACACACACACACACACACGTTGAAACATGTAGCCTAGCAAGCAGGGGCAGTTTGCTATGTTTTCAGAAAATAGTCTGCTCACTGAAATAAATAAACAAACAAACTTACCAGAAAGCCCGACATCATGGGCCACCTTCGCCCATGCTTCCTCCTTGGAGGTGCGATCCTGGTAGAACGCACACCCCACGTCCTACAGGACCGGGTGATAACTCATGGCAGTGATAAGCTGCTCCTCCATTGTGATTCTTCTTCTCCTCCTCCTTGCTTCACGGGTCAGTTGACGTCAGCAGAGCCCTGATTGACTGTCGCGGCACGGAGTCGCGGAAAGTTGCTCCCAAAGTTCAAATATTTTAACTTTGGGAGCGACTTGGGGTCCTGCGATCTCGGGTGACGCGACGTTGGCGAACCTGCGCGAACTGGTCGCGTAGGTCGCTCACGTCGCGGCTGTACATAGACTTTGCATTGGAAGTTGTTGCTCAGGTCGCCGAGGTCGTGTTTGGTCTGAACGTGGCTTTAAATTTGATTTCAAACGGCATTAAAAAAGTCTTAAAAAGTCTTGAATTTAACCTGCCTTGAGCTGTAGGAACCCTGTAAAAGCATGTACAGCCGAGTCAAAGCCTCAATGTCCCACATCAACATGTCTGGGTTTTAGTGTCAGCTCCAGGTGAAATACACGCTGCTCATGAACTGCAGAAGCGAAGTGATGTTGCAGCCATGCAGGTGCAGTATTGTGGAAGGTTTGTTCGTATTTTGGCAGATTTTCACCAAAATTATTAAATAAATAATTTTCAATCACTGTGGCTGTGTTTTTATAATGGGCAATTTTCTAATGTAGGTAGATTTCTTATTCATTATTCATTCAGTCACAACCTCTGTGTTGCGACAAACAAGTGAATTAAACTTGAAAAGCAAGAATTCCATGCACGTATTTTGATCTTCCATTTAAAGCCACATCACAGAAAGTCAAATAGTGAGTTGTTTTTCGTTCTCTGATTCTTGTGATCAAGACAGAAAATGGTTTGTTCTTCGTTTTTCATTGGGAGACAGCTCATCTCCCGATTTTAGTTTTTCATTTGAAAACCAAAATCCGTTGGCCACGAAGTACACGGACGCAGCCTCTTGTTCACATCTTTTCCTTGTCTTTGAAAACAGGTGTCGTACCTGATGATTTTAAAGTTGTTAAAGTTATGCCTTTGTTTAAATCAGATGATCCATGTTGTTTTAAATAATAATAGACCCATTTCTATTTTGCCCTGCTTTTATAAAATATTGGAGAAATTTTTTTACAAAAAGATTATTTTTCATTAAGATTCTAACACAATTCTTTATAAGCACCAGTATGGGTTTCGCAAAAATCACTCCACCTATATGGCTCCGCTTCATCTGATTCACAAAGTTAACACTGCACTTGACGATAATGAGTCAACATGTGGTACATTCTTGGACCTTTCAACAGCGTTTGATACATATGACCATCAAATTTTAATGGACAAACTGCACAAATATGGCTTTCATAATACTACATATGAATGGTTAAAATGTTATGTCTTCAATAGAGAACAGTTTGTTTGTGTTAAAGGTTGCTATTCTGACAAAGCTAGATTACTCTATTGGGTTCCACAGAGGTCCATTCTTGGACCTTTATTATTTCTTATTTATAGCAATGATTTATCTAGTGCAGGGGTCGGCAACCTTAAACACTCAAAGAGCCACTTGGACCAGTTTCCCACAGAAAAGAAAACACAGGGAGCCACAAAACCTCTTTGACATCTAAAATGAAGATAACATTGCATATATCTTTTTTTTAACCTATATACAAAGTATATAAAAAACTGTAGCGAGTTGCATTTATGAAATAAATGAACTATTTCGGCGAGTGTCTGTCTTCTTCTGTAGTTAAACCGCAAGATATCAAAATCTACCCGGATACAGCAATGCTGCTTTTTGATTGGCTGTTCAGTAGATATACTTTATTTGATTGGCTTGTGCGTGGCATGCAGCTTCTGAACTCTCGGAGGAACTCAGTTGATTTCCCCCAGTTCCATGGTTGAAGAAGTGCAACTTGGTGGACATCACCGTGTTCATTTAAATGCGTGAGAAATACAATGTGTGGTGTGTGAGCGTGTGAACGAGTGGGAATGCGTGTGTCATACGCTGAATGCGTGAGACTTGAGAGCCCTGTGCTCACGCATCATCGATGTACTCCCGAGCCATGCAAAACGGTCTTTGCAAATGTTGCACTGAACGCCTTCCTTTTCAGTCTTGGTGAAGTTTTCCCACACCACTGATGTTTTAGGTCGGGATTTGGGTTGGGTTGTGTCCATGTTTTTCTCAGCCGCTGCCTCGGCCATGGCTGTTTCTTTTCTGTGCGTCCTGCTGATGTTTACACGCCGGTGTCCATGGACATATATAAAGACCCGACGAATCGATTACAGAATTTGTTGGCAACGGATTTTTTCGTCACGACGAATCTACTTTATCGATTTGTTGTTGCAGCCTTAATAGTTTATTTAATGTTACAAGAGCATTATAATCTTTGAATTTAGAATTACAAAAAAAATAATAATAATAAAATAAAATAAAATGCAATTAAGTATTTATTATTTATTTTCCAAATCCATTGGGAGCCGCAGCTTAGGGAAGAAAGAGCCGCATGCGGCTCCAGAGCCGCGGGTTGCCGACCCCTGATCTAGTGTTTCAGATATTGTTTCTCCAATAATGTTTGCAGATGACACAATTTTAGTTCTCTCTCATTCAAACTTTGGTTCACTAATTAAGCTTAACAGCTTACGCTGATTGGTTTAGATTAAATAAACTATCTCTGAACATTAGTAAACCTAACTTCATTATTTTTAATGGTAAAAAATCATATTCTAAGAATCTATCTCAATTTTCAATTGAATCAATTAAGATGCCTCAAGTGTCAAACACTAAATTCTTTGGAATTATTATTAATAAGAGTTTGAGTTGGAGAGAACAAATCGACTGGGATAACAGAAAAATAAACAAATCCATCGGTATATTAAGGAGGGTTAGTCATCTGGTTACCATAAATTGTCTTATTATTTATTTCAGTTGAGTTTATTCTTATCTTTCATACTGTAATATAATCTGGGCAAGTACATTTCCTACTATGCTCCATAAAACGTCTCCCAGAAACGTTTTGTTAGGATTGCAACCCGGTCAGATCTATAAAATACTTGCAAGTGAGGGGAATATTCCAGTACAGTTTAAATAATATTTCAAAGCAAACTAGCAGGTTCCTTCTTACTGTACCTGTAATTCTTCAAATCTTCATCCTCCGAAAATTCTTACTTGCAGGGGCCAATTTTCAATTAGATACAGAGGTAGCAAATTATGGAACTTTTCTCACCTGATAAAAAAACTGTTCCTCTACAGATGGTTGTAAAAGATGTTTAAAGAATCATTTAATTGCTGTTTTGAAATGTTTTTCTTTTTCATGTTATTTGCGTGCAATTGTTTATAATCATTTCATTGATTTTTTTTTTGTGTTAGTTTTGAATCATTATCCCTAACCACACGCGTGCGCTCACACACACACATTTTCTTTTGTAATATTTTCATTTTTTTAGTTCTATATTTTCATTTACTTGTTTCTCATAATTTTTAAGGAATTGTTTTTAATTCATTATTTTCTGATATGTACATATGTTGAGTAAATTTTAAATTGTTTAATGTTACTTTAGGTGGACACTTTAAGTAAGCCTTTTGGGTTTTCTGCCTCTCCCTGCACTACTTGTAATTTGTTATTTTGGTTTCTTTGTATACTTTTTTAAACTGTGCAAAAACAAAATAAACAAATGAACAAACTAGTGGCCAGCAAAGAGACAATTTAATGCTAATTCATAGCCCTGTATGTGCCAGGTGACACCTGCCATCTCCTCTGGTTGACTGACCCAATCAGCTGTGTGATCGCTGACGATAACTCACTAATTAATCAGCTGTGTGATCGCTGATGATAACTCACTCATTAATCAGCTGTCAGATTGGTGACGATAACTTGCTAATGCCAACTACACTAAATATTTATCTATTACTCTTTCCTCTATTTCTTTAGGAGATGCAACAAGTGTTTGGAGACTGTATGAAAAAGGTACAAGCTACTGAGGCACTATAAGTTAGCACTGTTGCTGCGATTCCCAACCTATGGGCTGGGGCCCACATATGGACCCTGAGGGCATTGCAGGTGGGCCCCCATATAACTGTCAGTATACTACGTTTTAATTGCATAGTAAGACTGATGTTAGAAAATGT